ACAACATTAAATTTTTTCGAAATTCGAAAATTGCAATTTCAACGTACACCACATACGGAAATCAGATTTACATCATTTATAGACAATGAAGATTATAAAGGGTCTTGAAAAACCTCATATAGGTTTTCCCACAACAGTAGACTTTATATAGTTAGAATTTTTATTTTATTATTTGGACAGTGCCATACATTCCCCACTAATAAATAATTGCTTTTTTTTCTTTTTTATAAAACAAAATATAATTCATATCCCAAACAACCCGCCAACACTACTGATGTTTTTATACCCTCCACCATAGTATGGAGTGTATATTAATGTTGTCATTCCGTTTCGAAATATAAAGTATATATATATTCTTGATCAGGGTAAAATTCTAAGACGATCTAGCCATGTCCGTCCATCTGTTGTAATCACGCTATCTTCTGAAGGAATTGAGATAGGGTGCTGAAATTTTGCATAGGGTTGTCTTTTGTCTGCAGGCAGGTCAAGTTCGAAGATGGGATATATCGGTCCACGTTTAGGCATAGCTCCCATATAATGTTATCCGCCAAATTTCAGTAGTTCGGGGATCTTGAGCGCGAATTCGCTGAAATTTGGTATATTGGGTTCTTATTGGGTACTAAGTGTCTCCACAAAAAGTATAAGTATGGGTCCACTTTTTCTGGTAGCCCCCATATAACGGTACCTCCTAATTTTCAGTATTTTGGGGGTTTTGGTCGTATATTTCCACCGAATTGGCTGTAATTTAGTATTTTGAGTTCTTAATAGGTACCAAATTTCTCCACAAAAAATTATGAATATAGGTCCATTTTTTCGGGTAGCCCCCATATAAGGGTAGCCCCCATATAAGGGTATCGAGATAAAAAACTAGAACGTACGGTTCGATAATGAACTATATGTGAACTATAGCCTGATTTTTACGAAACTTGGCAGGCTTCATTCTAGACCTTATTCATTACGCTGTGGCAAATTTCGTGCAAATCGAAAGATTTTTAGGGAGTTTTGTGGACTATTTACCTAAAATCTAAATCTGAACCGATTTTCACGAAACTTTACACACATCATTCCAGACCTTATTCATTACGCTGTGGGACTTTGGTGCACCATTTACCTTAAATCGGACGAAAATATATATGGGAGCTATATCTAAATCTGAACCGATTTTTCCCAATTTCAATTTAACACCAACAGACGGACAGACGAAAGGACATGCATAAATCGACTCAGAAAGTAATTCTATGCATATTCTCAAAAGGAACCATGGGTCTATCTCGATTATTTTTGCATGTTACAAACATATGCACAAAGACATAATACCCTGTACCACAGTGTGGTGAAGGGTATAAAAATCTATGAAGGGCTTCTTGTGATACACAAAGTGGTGAAGGTTATAATTAATGGCGCCCAACTTTTAAACTTTCCTTAATAGATTTATTTGCTAAAACCATTTTTTAGACGACCAATAGTCGATTTATTTTAGGAGATTTCATTATAGCAAAGCAATACCTTCGATAAATTCCAATGTTCTGGACGCTCCAGAGGCCGCAATAATGGCCCGAACATGACATTTTGCATGAAGAGGGGGATCGAGCCAAAGAATAAGCATGCCTGTTTTGATAAAGATCGGTCAATATTTAGCGGGTCAAATGGACCCTGACTTTGGTGTGAAAAACGACAAAATTTGTATTCTGTGAGAAATTGGTAGTATATCCAAGAGGAGTGGTTGACCTTTAAATTGATACCAATTATATTGTCGTAGGTACTCAGATGCGGGAGTTACACTTAAATATTTACAGGTGCTTACGTATTCATATATTATTTAGTAACCTATTACCACACTGGAGGACGGAAATATAGCGCTGATCGCTTTGAAATGTTCCATGAGGTTCCAGTTATGGTCAAGGACAGCGACTAAAATGTTAGGTGATGATCAGAAAATATTTTTCGGATGAAGTGGACCGAAAAGTTAGTTATTTGTACTTTTCGAGTCGAAAGCCGAACATCACAACACAACCCACGGTGAAGGGAATCTGGACAAGCAATTAGAGGGCTGTACTGATTATTAGTAACATTTGCTGACCTCTAGCCAGTCAAAAGTGTGCGAATATCGCAAAATATTGCCCAATCTCAGAATATAGAACTATGCGGAAACAGAAAGTTAGATTTTCATGGATGTTGTGTTGGATATCGTATGGTCGGCCCCGTCCGACTATACTGCTCCGCTCACTGGTTTTTCCATAAATAACGGTTTTCATAAAAAACATCGACTTTGAAGTGGCCATAATAAAAATGTAAGAAGCGCTTCTTGTGATACACAAAGTGGTGAAGGTTATAGTCGATGGCGCCCGACTTTTAAACTTTCCTTAATAGATTTATTTGCTAAAATCATTTTTTTAGATGACCAATAGTCCATTTATGTTAGGAGATTTCATTATAGCAAAGCAATACCTTTGATAAATTTCAATGTTATATTTTTTAAATCACTTTTTTATGTTTAAAAATATATTTTTTTTTTATTTTTTGTTTTTTTTTATATTTTACAATACAATTTATTTTTGATAAAACTGCTTTCCACTTAAAATTTATTTTATTTTTTTTTTATTTCCCGTATTTAGATTTTTACTTTAATTACACCGTTTAAAAAAACACACGTCTGTACGCTACCGAATGAAACAAGCAACTTGTGGTAACATTCACTGCGGCCAGCATCCGACAACTGGGTCGGAGCACTTAAACGTGCTTTAGCAAACACAACGACACATACAATAATTTCAACCAGATGCCGGTAAAAAGCTTTAAAGAATATAAGCTTTTTTCCGTCGCCCCCTCTCCTTCTCGAAAATTTTTTTCAAAGCACCAGAAGCAGGGCGCAAGTAAGTAAATATTCCGTTACACTAATCACTTTGTATGAATTTTAAATGAATTTGCGGCCACTGTGGGTGTCCTCAACTCGGTAGGGATGGAGTAATACTTTAGTTCTTTCGTTGTTGTTTTTGTACTTGAAGACAATTAATAAATATGTAAATATTTTGTGGACAACGGAATATTGCCACACCAATTGATTAGCATAATTTTCGATTACAAAAGAAATCCCAAAAATGTTAAATATTTTATGAAAAGATTTTTGAAAAAAAACAACAACAAGTGCTTATAAAAAATAACAGTATAAGGAACTATTAATGATCAGTTGAAGGGTTTTTGTTTTATTTATAGAATATCTACGGCTGGATCATGTATTTTTGAAAGAAGATTATTGTTATTTATGCGCACTCACAAAACCAAAGGTCATGCAGGGAAAATAAAGAAAATATTTGTATATGGAAAATTGAGTCTGTCTCGGAAGTCCCAAATTTAAATTATGGAATTTTGCTTGTGGTTAATCTCTGTTGGTGGTAGTGAGAGAGAGAGAGAAAGAGAGATGTATAGGGGAAGTGGAAATGACAAATATACCCGTAAATGTATTTATATGTGGACATAAATTGCTAATAGTCCTAGGAATATATCGATTCACATTTTGATATGGGCCACATAGAATGGTATCTCCATATTTTCAGCACTTTCAAGGTTAAGGGACTGTAATTTGAAATTGTGGGCTCTTGGAGAACGAAAAAGTTCTTGGCGGGTACTTTGAGGGCATTTCCGATTCTGACACATTTTACAGATTTGTATGGTTCTACGCTTATTATCCTCATCGAATTGACAATAATTTGACATTAACGGTGGGTAAAAACTTCATCTGATAAATTTGAATTTAATTCGCATATGTAAGTTTCGCATCAGGGCGGAATAAATACAAGTTACCAACGTACGACCTTTGTAAAGCCACATAGCCCAATATGCCTGATGAGCCGCTTAACCAACGGCGAAACGCGTCGCATAATGGTGGGTACGTAGGTTCTTCTCCTGGCTTTCCTTTTCATTGCAAAACTTAGATCATCAAGCTCGACTCGAAAGAGTATAAATAATCACTTTAAATTACTTTGAAATGGTCACTGCCCTTACAAGGCAAAATTCAAATAACAAAAAAGTATACAGGGTGAGATAAAAAAACGGCAACAAAGTCAAACGCCATAATTTGTACATTTTATTTTTTTAATTTTGTTGAATGGAAGCAAAAAATGTCGGCAATAGCATCAAATTTTAAAACAAGTTTAAATTTGTTCGAATTGGTCACATTTGTCAAAAATTATGGCCTTCAAACGGCCAATGAAACAGTCACAGGCTGCCCGAATGTTGCTCTGCGGTATTTTGGTCCATTCCCGGAGAAACGCTTGCTTGAGGTGATCAACACTTTGGTATTTTTTACTGCCAACCTTGCTTTCCAAAATACTCTAGACACAATAGTTCAACGGAATTGTATCCGGAGATTTTGGTGGCCATTGTGCGTTGGAAATGAAGCGAGGAATGAGTCCTGTTGGAATGTCCAAGGTCTGCGCCCAAAAATGTTGAATGGCCAATACTTTAACTCCTTCAATGTTTTTGTCGAATATATTCGACATTTAAAAGTACTCTTTCTTTGCTATTTTTCGGTTATCCTCTGTACCGTTACTATTGATGTTTTTGCTGAAAGACAGACGAAACTGGCCGAGGGTTAAAATGACAATTGTTATTTTTTCTAATCTATGTGTTTTTATATGATCTTAAATACAAAATTTTAGATTTTTATTCCGACAAAAAAATTTTTTGACACTGAAAGGGTTAATACACGCTCCAGAATATTTTCGCGATAATATTCGGCATTTATTCTGATGCCACGGTCGATTAATACGATCACCATGGCCAACCGAAAGTACACATTTTCAGCGGACCTCTTTGCCAAGTAAACACGATCATATTGTTTGTTTACAAAACTGCTGGACAACAAATGTTTTCTCATCAGAAAAAACCAAATTCGGCAGTTCACCACTTTCGGCCAAAACGAAGCAACTCTTTATCTCTTTTGAGTCTATTTTCCTTCTGTTGCGGTGTGAGTTCTTCAACTTTTTGGAATTTCAATGGCTTACTCCGAGTTCATTTTTCAATATTTGCCGAATGGAATATTGCGATATGTTCAGCTCACGAGCCATTTTTCGGTCACTGCAACGCGAGACACAAAAGATTTATTCACATTTAAATGCTTGTGTGCTCTAACGATATCCAGTTGTGGGTTCCAGCCAAATAAAAAGAAATCATACTATCACGCTTGAATTCCATCACGAATAACTTTTTTCTGGAAAATTCTCACCAAAAAGGCTTTTGTTCGCTTGTAAACAATATAATGAGCTGTCACCGGAATAATTTTAACCGCTGTCGGACGAGTGGCTTAGAAATGACAGCAGTCTGAAATAGGTTGCAGTTTTTCATCTCACCCTGTATGACCATATTTTAACGTAGGATTCAGCTCTATCTTAGGTCTGCCAATGGTCCCAGCCACATTTGCTAACATGTGAGGCTGTATTTTGCCATTTCACGTTCTTGGAGGAAAGAAACTGTTTAGGAAAATAGTTTCGTTTTTAAGGAATCACAAGGATTTTTAGAGAATTGCTTCTTTTCGGATCACAGGATAATATTGTTCCAGAATTCCAATAAATAGAGTTAATCTGAAGCTTTATAAGAATTCCTGGTCATCAAGACTCCGTATCAAAAAAAAAAATGTGAGAGGTTGATACAAGACCTGATAATTTACGCCGAGTCATTGATCTTCGTTGGGCTCCAGGATATAGTTAAATAAAATATAGTGAACTAGGGTAAATCACGTCCATGGAAAGTAATTACCCAGGATCCCTACTGTAAATTTGAGTTGTCATGATGTAATGCAGGTTTAAACATGTTTAAAATATTTATTATATTTATAAGATTTTTTTTTAGAGTAGCTATGATGTAAGGTGGATTCTTTGTAATTATATATAAATTGGCCATGAAATTGTAATTTGGCTTTAATTACAAATGGTCTGTTCCCGTACTGCAAGAATCTACTATTTTTTACTACGATAACACTTTTTTCCTTTATGATATCGAAAACAAATAGTAAAGACTCGTAGATTCTTGCAGTACGGGAACAGACCAAAAGTAAATAAAGACAAATTAAATTAAAATTAAATTTAATGACTTCCTGCCATAGTGACATTACGTCTAGATGGATTATGGTGTTCTGGCTCCACAAATCATCTATAGCCAGTTTTCTCACAGAAGATCTTGCAAATTTCGCCAATGTAATAGGCAACAGTTCGTCGAACAGTGACCTTTCGAAGAACCTCATCATCTAGGACCCGAAGACCCAAGAATGAAAGAACTCACCCTTGAAGTTAATTAGGTTAGTATGCGAGCATAACGCGGATGAAGTGTCTGGGCCACCTGAAACATTGGAACCGGAAACAGTAAATTATGGGAATCGATTAAGTCACTCTCGAACCCTGGAAGGTTGTCAGATTTAGGGTCGTAACCGAAGAGATTCGCGAGTCAACCACATTGTTTTCGAAGCGTGAAAATTTGGCAGGGTAGTACTGATACTGAAACCAAGGCAAGGATGCCTGCATCTCGTCCCTCAGATCATGACGTCTGGTCCTCTTATCGATGACATATGTGAAAGCTAAAATGGATATGCGCAGCCTTTTCGCTAGGGAGAGATCTTGTATGTGAAAATGTTTTCACGTTTACATTCTCGCCTTATTCTGAATGAATAGGGAGAAGCAAAAAATGAGAGATGCCGATTCGAATTTTCGAAAATGATGGTTGAAAAAAGATTCGTGTTGTCATATTGTAATTTAAGTTGTAATGTGTGTTGCCCCATTGTAATTTAATTTTGTAATATTTTTCAATATTTTATTTAATGAGTTTAAAAACAATGCTACCTTTTATTGTTATTTAAACTTTATATCAATAAAAATGTGAAATATCAAGAATGCGTTGTAAAACTGCTTTGTACTTCACAGAAAATAAATTAATGTTTGAAAATATGGCAACATACAACGGCATGTGAAACAGCTGTTTATTGTTTTGATGTAACCAAGGTATATTTAATAAGGTAGCCGCATCGGCCCAGCTGTTGGTGCAAATAAATGTCAAAAATGTTTTGTAATGTTGAACCAACAAATTAAAAAACTAAATTATTAATGAAAATCTCCGAATTTCGAAGAGCTTGTTTTGGCAATACTTTTATTAACATTTTCTATATTCTATATGTATATCTACCTTGGATGTAACAACTACAACAGATTACAATGGCATAATAACTCAAGGTAGTCTCATTTGAGAATTTTATGATGGCAACCCTTTTTAGTTTGGAACTCATCAAGGTGTATTTAATAAGGTGTGACAATCATATGGTTTCAAACTTTATTCTTTATTGTTTGTAAAGTAAATTGTCAAAAACATTTTCAATATTATATTTCGATTTCATGAATGGTCTTTAAATTTATGATTTTTTAATAATAAAAATTCAAGAAAACAACATTCGCAGAGGCGGACGGAAAGGAAATCTAGGCTTAAATCAGCTATAACACCGTTCGCCGATTGGTCCACATATTTTATGTTATGTATGGAAATCTGTCCATTCATAAAATCGAGGAGATTATGTTAGTCTATATTGGAATCGGCCCCTTAGTGCTTGTCACAATCCTCGGCGGAGGTTAAATATGACTATGGAAAGATTTTATACGGTCAACACAATTTCCATGATTTAGTCTTTGGTCGGGGATTTATGTCCCTTCAATTTTCTTTAAGAAGGCAAGATTTGAAGCCACTCCATAGGAAAAACTGATGGTAATTCACAATATAAACAACATCACAAAGAGTCATGGGCTGCATGTGGGCAACTTAAAATTAATCGCGACCAGGTCGTAAACTTTATTTTTCACTGACCTAAAACCGCCAATAACCCAAGAATACACAAATTCATTAATTATTCCTCAAAGAATAGTTCTTGGCAAAAATAAATTAATAATTGTTTTTGTTTTTTTTTTTTTTGTCAATAACTTATTGTCAGCATGACAATTTAATTTCTATAACAACAATGTTGTTTTTGTAAAATAGTTGTTGTTGTATCTGATGCATACACCTTGTTAAATACACCTTGGAACTCATCTATCAACGTTAAATAATATGAAAAACAAATTCCATAAAATTTTGTGTATGTCAATTGGCATATTTCCAATAAGTTAAACAAAATAAATTTTTAAAGCTGAACATTGCCCTCAAGATTTAACCATGGTTGTTACATCATATTTTTATAAATTTTAGAGGCATTGAACTTTAAAATATTTCTAAATATTAATTATTTAGCAATTTTTGCCACTGAACAAATATTATCGGTACATTTCGAAGGAAGATATTTTCATTTAAATTTTGAAAGCTGAATACTGTCAAAGGCATATTTATGAAAAAAATTGGAAACATATGATTGCATGTGACTACCTTGTATAATTATGCCATGAATGCTAATAAACATGGCACAATGAATAGGTAGTCCATTTAGAGCAGCTGATGTCTTCATTAACTGTCAAGGTGGTCAATTTTACTTGAATTTGATGTGCAATGCTGCCAATTTTTTTAAATATTATAAGGAAAAAATTTACAGATAATCGATACATCACCTTTTGATACATCACCTTATTATTGCATCATGCTAATAAAGAAACCAGACAATGGACCAATAGCACGTGAATTAAATAGCTAATGGGCTTGCTCGTAGGGTCACCAAAGAAGAGATTAGAGATTTTGTTGATTGTTTACAAAACATAACGCAACAGCTGATAAAATATCAGCTGACGATGCAAGAAAATTCTTATTGAGTAAATTTTTCCTAATAAGATTTTGCAAATGCTCAGTAACACAACTGTCAAATCTGCTCTCTCAATTTACTCCCTTTAACTGCACTTTTGGGTAAACGAACATTTTGTAAGTTCTAGTTCAGAGAGTAAGCCGTTTTTACTATCTTTTACGATAGTACTGAGAAAAGTAAACAGAAAACAATTTAGTAAGATTTAGCAAATAAGCTGCTGATTCAAGAAAACATTTGATTTTCGCCAAAATAAGCAAACAAACGACAAACACAATTATTTGAATTGCATTTAATATTAAACATAAAATGAACAATAAAAGAAAAATTGATTTGGTATGTTCCTCGGGAATATTTAAGCTTCCTGCATCAATACATTGCCCTCCATCTGGAACTTGCCTAAAAATATATAAGGTATTAGTTTCTAATATAAAAAATTTTTGCATTACTTACGAATTTTCTTGCATTTTCAGTAATTTTATACAACTTAACTTCAAATTGAACTTTCCAATTTAAAAAAAAATGTTTTGAATAATTTTTGTGTTTGGTCATAAAACAACAGATCCAAAAATGCTGAGTTTGCAAAATCTTACTCCACAAAATTCTTTCAGTAAAGTCCAGGGTGCTGATGCTAAGAGTCGATAGCGAAATAATTGCGTATCGCAATTAATTCCGATCGTTCGACATTTTCCAATTCTGTGAATCGTTTTTTTTTTTTTTTTTTTGTTATTGTGTTGTAAAGTGAAAGCAAAACACCTTAAAACAACACTGTATAAAAGCATATATAAAACAATATGTTTGGTGTAGATTAGAAAGAATTAACAATTTTCGAAAGCAAATAAAATTTAATATTTGATGGATCCGATTATATTTTGTTTTTCAGTGTAGTTGAAACGATGTAAAAAAACAAATGCGTATGAAAAGTGATCCCTTAAAATTGCCAGACTCAGAGTACGTTGCAAAAATATATCTGGATAAAATGTTTAATTGTTGCCATTTATATATTTGTAAAGCGTTTCAGACTACAAAAAAAGCCTTCAGATATGTTATTGAAGAAATTAAATTCAAAGGAGCAATTTCAACAAGTATACCACCAAAAATACAACAGGCAGCAGCTTTGTCTCTTCTGGCATCTGGGGGCTTCCAACGCAAAGTTGGAAATGATTTTATTATTGGTGTAAGTCAAAATGTAATTAGTAGAATACTTCAAAAGTTCACATAAATTTCCTATTTTCTGTCTGGTGGCAATATATTGAGTGGGAAATCCCCTTTTTATGTATACTTTTTTGGTGCCAAATTGTTTGCGATAACTCATAT